TTGCTGAAAAGTTATCCTCAGGAAGGATCTCTCAACGGCTATCAAGTTCTCTCCTAAGCACCTAGAGAGAATATGGAAGGTGGACTTTAAAGACAGAGAGCAGGTAAAATTTGTGCTCCACAGGAGGTATGCACCCACAGGATGGCTATGTACATATAGACAGTAGCACAACCTCACAGGAGGTGTGGAAAGTACTCCATCAATGATGTCTTGCTTTACAGAAGCTGGACTCACAGCTGGGTGATCCAGAAGTTGCCAAGCAGGAACTTACTTTGCACAGACCTGGGGAAGTTGGCTAGAAGCAACTGGAGCCATCACTGGATGATTTCCCTAAACCTGTCACACAGCAAGGTGGTTGGCAGGAAGGGGATTTGCAGCCACTTTGTTTGCAGGAAGTGGATCCACTACAAGTCTGTTGGCCAGAAAGCATGGTGCCACAGGAACCTGGTTTACAAGAGTTCTTTATAGAACATGGGAATTGGCAGTGAGCCACTGGCTGGCAGATGAAAGATACAGAAGGAGCTGGATGGCAGTGAAGTGGCTGACAAGGGGAGGGCACACAGCAAGAAGGACTGCAAGAACTGAACACACAAGTCAATGGCTGGTAGGAAACAGGCAGGCAGGGAACTGATTGGCAAGGCTTGCAAATGTAGCAGATGGGTTGGTAATAAGTAGATTTGCAGGGCTGGACTTCACCACCAATGWGTTGGCCTGAATCTCCTTGGTAGCAAGGGGATTGGCATGAACTAGACTCACAGATGACTGGTGGGCAAGGCGTTTCAGGACAGGGAGTTACTTCAGAGCAGGATGGCTGGCAGGAGCTTGTATCACAGCAGACTGATTGGCCACAAGGTACCTGGCATGATCCAGAGGTGCTGATGGGTTCGTGGCAGGAGCTTTGTTGACAGGGGCTGACATCACAGCATTTTATCTGACAACCAGTGGATTCCAAGCAGGATGTCTGACATGATGGGACTGGACAAGCAGACTGACCAGTGCCAGATTCACAGCAGCCTATGCGGGAGCAGATGGGTTGGCAAACAAAACCCACACAAGAAGTTTCCGGAAAGCAGGTAGATTGACAAGAAACGGGTTCTGTGCTCCTTGGAGCACTGCTGAATGGCTGACGGTTTTCTTGACACGTAACCAGTTGCCATGTTCTGCTCTGGCAGGAACTGGGCAAACAGATAGCATTTCCAAAGCTGCGATTCTTTGGGCATATGACAGTGGTCGGCACAGCTGGAATGGCTGTGCTGTTTCCAGGACTACAGCCGTCTGTCATGATGCTGATGCCAACCTTGCTGGGAAGGCGGAAACTCAGTGTATCTGAGTTCAGAGGACATCTAATCCAGAGGGGTTTTTATAGTCCTTCACCAGGGGCGTGGGTTCCAAGGCATCTTTCCTTGTTATGGTTCTTATTCATTTGCAGGCAAACATCTGATTAGAAAGCTTCAGGAGCCCAGCAGATAACCCTACTTAGAAAACATGTCTGTAAAGCTGGGAGCTTTCTTTGCCAACTTTGAATTCACTGATGCTGCTCCTGGATGAGCTGTCTCTTTTACAGGTTACTCCCCAGCCTCAGTGAAGCAGGTATCTCCCGTACACCCTCTCATCAGGAGGCCTCCCCCACGCCAAAGCACCTGCTCTTCTTCCAGGAATGCAGTTCTATACCATCCGGTCTGGAAGTGAGGCTCCAACCCTACTGGGAGAGAGGGTATCCAGGATAAGGAAGAGAAAATTAGGCGGTGGATCCCAAAGACATGTAGTGTTGTTTTTCTGGGACCTTGCCATTTGGCTTTCCTGAAAATTAACCTTATTAGTACCATGACCAATGATAACGACTCCGGAGCTTCCACCTGCTTCATACTCTATGTACCACACTCTTGACTGCACTTTTCATCTGTCCTCAAAATGACCTTAGTAAGTGCAATCGCCATCGCTATATCAGAAGTGGCAAAACTAACTCAGAGAATCTAAATCATGTTCCCCAAATGTGCAAATAATGAATATAAGCAAGATTCAAGCCTAGCTAAACTGGCCCCCAAATCTCAAATCTCATTATTTATTAGACCTCCTAACTTTGGAGAGATAGGAAAGGGACAACTCTGATAGTGATCAGAGGCTGACATTTGTACAGCAGAGTGCTGGCTCATAAGCGTATTGGCCAGGACGGGAGCTGGGACCATCAGCCCACTGTTGTGACTCTCATCATCAGTTAGATCAAACCGGTTGACTATTTACCCTCCTTCCAATACWCCCAAAGATAGTCTTTTAATTTGGAAATTTTAAAAGATGCAAACATTTCATCAAGAAGGATTAGACTCATATTATGGAGTCAGCAGCATATGAATTCTACAAATAAAAAAGCACAACATTCAAAAGGAATATCAGCATATTACTGCAAAGTAGTTGTAGAGTTAAGTCAATCTTTGCCAAGAGGTATTTGTGAGGGCTTTCCTGATCYTTCTCTTTTCCCTCTGGGCTTGTCGTGGCTCTGCAACATGGACCAGCTTCAGCATTCCACACAAGTCCATGTCCTGGCCTGGATCAGGCTGGATGTGTGCAGTGGAAAGACAGTGGCTTCGGATGCCAGGCAGAGCTGGTCTCGATTTCTGGCTCGGCCACTAACTCACTCTGTTGGACTTGTTAGCTAATCACCCAAGTTGTCAAAGTCCCAGGATTTCATCAGCGGCATTTGTTGTTTCTGGGGTGATTTGCATTCTTCTTTGGCTGCCTCACAAATTAATAAAAATGTTGGAAATTCTGGTCCTTTGCAAAGTGCCAGATACAAAATGCTTTTTCCTTTCACCTCTGCTAAAGAAAAGAAGTAGTTTTCCAATCATAGTATTGTCTAGAGAGCATTCACCCTGGTCATCAGCCATAGCCTTTTATGTCACACCACAGATCATTTCTTGTGCTCACTTTCTCATCTCTGATCATCTTGGCATCTTTCAAAGTGCAGGGATCCCTGCACTGCATTCTATTTGCACCCCAAAATGACTCATCTCTCACTTGAGAGGAAATACTCTGGATCTTACCACATAGGTCAATAAAAATGAGAATATGAGTGTGTTTGAAAAAAACACATCAACTTCAATCTGAAAAAAAAGTCTAGAACACACCACTTGTACAGTTTTAAAGCAATTCATTTTTCACCCACTTTTCTCTGATTCTTGCTCTCAATTTTACTTTCTCTATTGAGAAGCCTCTCAATAGAAAGAAAATCCATTTTGCTGCAGTTTGAGGCACTACAAACATCTAGAGTGTCACCAAAGATGTCTTATAACCTCATCAAGGAGTGTGGTGACCCCTAAAAAAATCAGTGACTTTGTACCAAACTGGGTTTTAGTTATTTGTATGCTACTTGCTAAGTGACTATTCTCAATTATGCGTGTGTATCTATCTCTGAATATTACACAAATGTATATACACATAATAACATATATGTATATATGTGCTCGTATACCCATACATGTGTGTGAGTGGCTTTGCCTCCCAGGGAATGTTTGGCAATGTCTAGTTGGCAGAGACCAGGGGTGCTGCTGAACACCCTATAGTGCACAGTTCAATTCCCACAATTACCAGGTCCAAAATGACCATCATGCCAAAGTTGAGAAGTCCTGGTCTAACCCCTCCTGTGCTTGGGATGGCTCAAACTGCACCTCGAGGGCAACAGATAGTCCTCTATTCTGTGCACTTAGTGAAAGAGGTGACTGCTTTGAAGAGACTCTGTACTTGGACATGGTAAAAGGTTACGTATGAAGTTTACGCAAAGAGTGTTTGTGGGGATCAGGAGAACATAAGGAAAGTTCTTCCATAAGAAATCTAGGTTACTTGAACTTCCTTGTTGTGAGTATAACCTATTTGTTGTTTTCATCCCACTTTGGACCCAAAAATCATTAGCTTCTTCCACAGTCTCTCTATATCCAGGATCATGTTCTTTCATTGAGTTCCCCACACCAAGGCCAGAGGGACTTTCCAGAACCCAGTGCTCTTCATGTCCCTGCCCTGCATAACCTGATGACACCTTCACATCAGCCCTGCACCAAACTCAAGTACCTCTGTCTAGCACCCAGACGGGCAGGTTGCTTCCTGCTCTCTGACTTCTGGACTCACCTCTCCCCTAAGGACACCTCTGCCCAAGCTTCACCTAATGAGCAGCTTGCTCACAAACAGATTGGCCCATTCATTTGTACATGTATTTCCTACCTAGAAATCTTTTCCTTCTCTGTAACTGGTTAATTCCTACTTGTGCTGAAAGATTCAGCTCCAGTGTCATATCCCTCATGAATTCCTGCCTAGTACCCACTATGTCTCGCTGAACTCATGGGCCCTATTATGAGCACAAAAGAATAAAATTAATGTCTCATCACCTATTTGACATGCCACCAAAGAGTAAACTCCTTAATACCTGGGGACTCATTCCTAGAGCCTAAGCAGTCCATAGCACCTACCTAGCAGCGAGCTAATGCTGGCTGGCTGGATAGGTGGATAGGTGGATGGATGGATGGTGGGTAGATGATGGATGAGTGATTGGGTAGATGGATGAAACTACTCTTAAAGAAAAAGAAAGTCTCTAGTGAGACTATGACATTCACAGGAGAACAGCAAGCCACTTCAGCTTAGCCACATTTATTGGACAGTTAAATATAGCTCATTGCAGATGTCCCCAAGGAACATGAGTACACACCACATGGGAGCCCATACATATGGACAGAAAACATTTGGTGTCAGGACAAAGTCTGGTGATATGGCAAAACAGCTCTTCTCAACTGAATGGCAGGAGAAGACTAGAACCCAGAAGATCCTCCTCACAGTGACCAGCAGGCCTTTATTTGGATCATTAGACTACTGACATTTCTGGGGAGTTCTTAGAAGCATAAGCAGATGATGTAGAGAGTAAAGATTCTGGCTAAGTCATAATGCACTTTGCAGAAGGCCGTCAGGTTTTCTCTTCAGCTTGTGGCTTGCTTTGCAAGAATTGGTGGGCTTGGGCCAGTCTAGCGGTCGGCAGGCTTGCCAGCAGCAGGCGGAGGGGCTGCAGCCTCACGAGTGGGTGAGCTGGTGGGTTTGGCCTCAGAGGGTTGGCTGGGGCTCTCCTCAGAGACTTCCGGCTTGCAGGGGGTTGAGTCRGCGCAATCGCAATCGGGTTGGCTGGACGTGGACTTTTTGCACTCGGGTTTACAGGAATCACGGTCAGAGCAAGGCTGGCGGGAGCAGACAGGGCGGTAGGAGTAGGACGTGTAGCAGGTGGGGCGGCGCAGGATGGAGTAATACGGGCGATAGCATGAAGGACGGTAGGAGATGGATGTCACATACGGTTGCCTCAAGGTGATGGGTCCCGAGCAGATGGGACGGTAGATTGAGCGGCAAATCGGACGGTAGGATACCGAAGCACTGCAAGGCTGTTTGCAGGAACTGGGTATGTAGAAGGTTCTAGGAGGACACACTGGCTGGCGGATGGCAGATGCCGAAGACCCCGGTCGGCAACAGAGAGGTTGGCAGGAGGTGGGTGGGCAGGACACAGGCTCACAGCAGACAGAACGACAGCGCTTGACCATGTAGCAAGGAGGTTGGCATGGGCGGGGCACACAGACACATGGCGAGCAGGGGCTGGACTCAGAGCACACAGGTTGGCAGATACTGGAGACACCGCATGAGGACTCTTGGCAAGTGCTGGAAACACACGGTGGTTCACAAGGACTTGGAACACAGCAGACAGACTGGAGGCAGACAGGCTCACAGACCAGAGCCATACAGGTGGCTGGATGGCAAACTTGGGGCTCTGAGCAAGGTGGCTCACAGGGACTGGAGTCACAGCAGACAGGCTGGCAGCTACTGGTGGCAGAGCAGACAGATGGACAGCAGCTAGGCGTGGGACACACTGGCTGACAGCACGTGGGCTCACAGACCACAGGTTGGCAGGAGCTAGGCACGGTGCATACCTCTGAACAGCAGCTGGGCTCACAGATGACTGGCTGGCAGCAGGTGGGGCTGCAGAGGATGGGCTGGCAGGAAGCAGGCACGCAGAGCACTGCTTGACAGGGAGCCGTCTCACAGCACACGGGTTGGCAGCAGCTGTTGTCAGAGCAAGAAGGCTCACAAACAGTGGCCTCGCAGCACACAGGTTGGACACAGCTGCTCACGGAGCAGGAAGGCTCACAAATGGTGGCCTCTAGGCACACGGGTTGAACGCAGCTGCTCACAGAGCAGGAAGGCTCACAAATGGTGGCCTCGCAGCACATTGGTTGGCAGCAATTGTTCCCGGAGCAAGAAGGCTGACAGCATTGTGAGCTGCAGCTAGATGACCCACAGCTATCGTCACAAGTCACCAGCTGCCACGTCTGGCTCTGGCAGGAACTGGGCAAGCAGATGGGCCCTCCACAGCTCACCTCAGTGGAGCAGAGAGACATGGCTGGCAGGGAGGGACATTTTCTAGAACAGCAGCTGCCAGACATGGTGGAGATACCTCTGCTTCCTGTGAGTGCTGGGAGGGAGCTGCCTGACTGGGCTAGCTTGGCCAGGCCCTCCCTTTTATACCCCCTCACTGCTGAGTACTGTTGGGGGCCCCTGCATCTTTTCCTCATTGCTGTTGGGGCCACTTTGCCACTTTGCCATCTTATGATGCCAACATTTGTTGATCTAGAAGTTGTTTATCTCCCCATAAAGCAGATGTTTATTTATTGACTTGCTAAATTTGGAAGCCTCAGAGCTACAGGTAGTCTTGGAAGAAGCWTCATCACCTCCAAGATGGAGGGTCTATATTTCCTAGCATCATGAACAGGGAAAGAAGGAAGGAACTTACAATTTATCCACCTTCTAGTCATCCGTACTGAGCCTTAGGTTGGGCACAGAGGATGACCACATGAATGAGATCTGCTCACCCATCCTCCTGGGTCTTACTCTGTAGTGTGCAAGCAAACTCACTGCAGTGCAGGGATCAGCTTCACAAAGTCACACAGGGATTAGCAGAGAAAAGCAGGGATGTACTCATTCAGGGAAGGGACATCTACACTGGATGTTAAGTGACTATCCCKTATAACAACAATCTTATTTAAAAACCATCAACAGTGAAGCAGAAATTATTCCTCCTCATTACAGATGAAGAAAGGGGGAGGAATCAGAAAGGCTAAGTCACTTGCTGAGGATGACATACAGCCTGTCCCCTCATCTAGGGCTGCTGCCCCTTCTCCTTGGCAACTTGTGTTCATTGACCTTTCTTAGGAGAAAGGTCATCACATCAGAGTCACACATCACAGGCTCAGCCTGTGCCTTGAGAGCACTTGGTCCAGCTTCTCTGCCTCTCTTCCTTCTTTTCCTTCCACCCGTGTCTATCCCAAGTATTCAGCAACCCCCAGCATTGTCTTTGCCTTTTGGAGATTTTGACCACTRTGCTAGTCATCCATCCACTCTTGCTTCATTACTGTAAGCAATCATTCACTCTGTGTCTCTTGCTCATCCATCCAACTGAGCTAACACTGAGTTCTATGTGAGAGATACTAAAAGAATGAGTCGTACTGGGTACAGTGGTGCAGGCCTGCAATCCCAGCTGCTCAGGAGGCTGAGATAGCAGGATCACGTGTTCAAAGCCAGCCTCAGCAAAAGTGAGGTGCTAAGCAACTCAGTGAGACTCTGTCTCTAAATTTAAAAATGCAAAATAGGGCTGGGGAGGTGGCTCATTCGTCAAGTGCCCCTGAGTTCAATCCCTGGTACCAAAAAAAAAAAAAAAAAAATTGTTGCAATTTCAGCCAAAGGAGCACAAGTGGAGAAGAGAGGTTTGCACATCCATAAGCAATGATGGATTACAAGCGTTATGATAGAGGGATGTACAGATGCTTTCAGGGGCAACAGGGGAAATACCAACACTGTTTTGGGGAAGTTAGGATAGCCTTCTCAGGGAATATGATGGCCAAGTTAAATCCTCAAGAGAGAAGGATGAAAGACTGGCAAGAACTGGAAAAAGATGAGCTGCAGAAACCAAAGACACAAAAGCAGAGTGTGTTTGGGGAGCAGCTAATGGTTTAACCTAGCCAGAATGGAGAGCACAGGGTACATAAGGACAGTGGTGGTACTAGATTGGTTCCCAAGTACCCCATCGTGTAAAGCCTTGTGAACCATGGGTAAGAAGTCACATTTTATAATGGTATCTGGGGGTTAAGGAGTAATGGTATCTGGGGGTTAAGGAGTAATGGTATCTGGGGGTTAAGGAGTAATGGTATCTGGGGGTTAAGGTATCTGATCGGGTTTGCCCTTTGGAACTGTCTCTCTGGATATGGAGAGGAGAGGAAGAGGAAGAGATTCTTCTTCATAGTTCATATCATATAAAATATGATATCATATATAAGTACATCTGGGCTAGGGCTTCTGTCTATTCACTGATGCATACCCAGCACCCATAGCAGTGTTGGATACATAGGCAGTGCACAATTAATATTTATTGAATGAACAAATGAGAACCTCTGTGAACAGCTAAGAAGGGCCTCCCTTGATAATTCAAAGAAATCACTACCTCTACTCATGTATCCSGGAGATGTAGCCATGAGCAATAGAATAATAAGCAGCTCTGAGTCACCATCACTCAGAGCAGACCCACTGGCCTCTTGGCAAGTCTGTCACATTGCCATGCACCTGCTCTAGCTGTGACCTTATCCTGAGGATTAAAAACTCAGTTCCTATTAGGTTAATTCCATCCAGAGCAAAAATTACTTAAACATTAGAGTCTGAAGCTAAACCAGGGTGGAGTCAAATCTTATATTCTTCCAAAATACAGGGTATATTAATACCAATGACATTTTTAATAAAACAAAAAAATGAAATGACAATAAGCTATGGCTGTATGATCTAAAATGGATATAAAATTAAAAGACTGGTAATATCAAGTGTTAGCAAGGATATGGAGCAACTAAAATTCTTAGACATAGCGGATTGGAATATCCACTTTGCAAAGCAATTTGATCATTTCTTACAAAGGTAAAATTTCATGTATCATTTACCTAGCAACCCAACTCTTGGGTATCTATCTAAAATAAATGAAAACATATGTCCACTCGAAAACTTACACACAAGTGTTCTTAGCAGCTTTTTTCATAATAGCCCAAAAYTCAAAACAATCCGAATACCCATCAATAGTGAATAGGTCTTTAAATGCAGTTTATCCATACAGTGGAATACCATTCAATAAAAAGGAATGAACTTATTGATATCTGCAAAAAATATGGACAAATATTAAAAATGTTACACCAAGTGAAAAAAAGAGTTTACACTGTATTATTTCTTTTATATGGAATTCTAGAAATGGCACAGTGTCTAATGACATAGAGAACAGACTAAGGATCGCCACAGGTTGGCAATAGGAGACTGATTGAAAAGGGGAGAATTTGGGAGATGATGGAAAAGTTCATGTCTTGAGTGCCTTAGTGATAACACAGGTATCATATGTACAATGGTCAAATGTCATCAAACTGTGTTCTACACTATACGGGTAACAGAGATAAGATCATAGCTGAGCTAGATCTTACTGGAGATGGTGCTGTGCTCTCGGCTCTTGAGTCTTTGCAAGAGAGGATTTCAAGCAAGATCACAAGACTTATTAAAAGTGTAGCAAAATTTATTAGAAGAGAAAGAACAAGAGTGGGGACATCACCCTCTAGTGAAAGAGTGTCCTCTCAAAACTTCTTTGTGGTCTCAATTTTACTGGGGTAAGAAGGGAGGTTTCTGGAGAATCCCACCCAAGCACCACCTCTTGGCTGTTAACTGACAGTAGGATTGTGTCCGATTTTTAAATCCCTACTGCATATGTTTCTGCCTAAAGGATCTCCCAGTTATTTGGGTTTGTATAAAGGTCACAAAGGCCTTCTTTCATCCACGTCCAGCCTGGAGCAGGGTGACTTGTGTTYTTTTTATCATCAGAGGAGTTTTTGAACTTATATTCCTCAACCTTGGGAGGAAAGAACAACCCTAGAAATAAAAAGCTCATTAGTCAAGAGCTGTACCATGCGGTTAGCTTTTTTAAACCACAGCAGGATCCGAATGGCCTAGGAACGTTGCTTCAAAGAAAAACGTGCYGAGAGTGAGCACATAGGCTTTATCTGTAGAATTAAACCTTTAAGCTCCATGTGCTCACTGCACATGACTGCCTGCTACTTAGCAGTATCTCAACAAAACTGACTCATAAAAAATGAAACAGAACATTTTTAAAAAGCAAAAAAGTAGAATCAGCATAATTCCAGTTGTAAGTATGCTGGCAAAAGATAAATCTCAGTAACAAACGCTAAGCATTCAGAAGACTATTGTTTCTTCTTTATATTTTTCTATAGCTTCTTGTATTTTTAGGAACCATTGATATAATAGTTCTGATTTCCTGTTTATCCAATGGAGCATTGTTTTGTAGGAATGAAAACAAACCTTGTTTGCCTAGGGCAGGAACACATTTAGTTTCCTTCCACGTGTGGGTGAAGATCACTTTCAGCAAAAGGCCAAATCAACTATCTTTTGGGGTTTAACTTAGCTGGGCTCACACACCCGCATCAAGCCCCCTAGCAGATGTGCACCTACCCCTCCTCAGCAGAAGAAATACAGCTGGCTCCAAAGCAAGAAAAGCCAAACTGAGCCAGAGCCTGGGGCTGGAGGAGGAGCTGAGCTGCCTGGAACTTCCCTAGGACCTGTGTTCACACAGCCTTGCCACAGGAATCCCATCCACTCAGAACCAAGCCTGTTTTTACCAAAGCCTCCTTCCCTGGCTTTTCCAGAAAGTTCTGAACAAGCCAGAAGGCCTCCTGCTGAACTATCCTAGGAAGACTGCTGTCCAAAAGAAAGCCAGGCCCTTCAATCAAGACCAAATTTGTCCAGCATCAGTATTGACCACAGAACTTTTAACAATACAGGTCCCAGGGTTCCCTAGACCCTACAGCTAATGGATACAATCTCCAGCAGTGAGGCTCAAATTTCTGTATTCTTAAAAGCCTCCCCAAGCCAATGTCATGCAGCTGCCACATACATCCATGCATCTCTAACTTCAATGCAAAGAATTACCTGAGATTCTTGTTAAAAACACAGATCCTCAGGCCAAGCCCCTATGGATTCTGGTCCTGTATGCAGGGGCAGGTTCTCCAGTTTTAATTAGACCCTGGTGATTCTGGTTCAGGCGATCCACACAGCACATTGCAAAAGTCCTAGCCTGGATTGCCAGAGTAAGTTTTCCTAACCTAGTCCCAGGAGGGGTTGAAGGAAGAGGCAAGAGGACTGATGGGGTTATGCCAGCACACTTGAATTTATTAAGGGGTTAACAAAGTTTTTTTTATTGTTTTCTCTTTTGGGTTTTGTTTTGTTTTGTTTTGTTTTTGGGGGGGAGTCTTTGTTTTATTTTTATTTTTATTTTTTTTTAAACTCCAAAGCAACAGTAAGCTAGAGAGGAAGATCAGTCCCAAACACCTTGAATGAGAGAACGTACAGTGACAAG